AAATTATACTGCAACTTCAAATTCCAGTTAAAAATTCCGTTATTTTAAGTTTTAATAGTTTTGGCCAAGAAAAGTGATGTTTCCGACCATAGTACACTGGTGGGGGGAAATGAAAAGTCTTATATCGAGGGAGATTTATTTGATTCTGATTTTATTTTGATATTTTCATTACTTATATATTATTTTAGAAAACTATCTTAAGTATCTAAATTTTGTGTATGTATGTATGTATTGCAGCATATTCTTTATGCTGCTTGATATGTTTTATGCTATATGTTGTTTTCAAATGTACAATTTAATACATGTGTGTGTGTGTTTAATGTTATCTTATCTGATAGTTTATGACTTGTGTTTTTACATACATCATATACATATGTATGTACATATATCCGATATATATTTATATAACGTACAAAGAGTAAAACTATAAGAGGAAACTCTATATATTCACTTATATTCATACATACATATTTACCCACGTTAAGTGCATGCTAATTTTCTTTTCGCGTTTTATCCGTACTGCGAATAGACATACATATGTACACACGTACTTATGTACGAGTACATACGGGCGCATTATAAGTACATATGTACATAGATACATAGGCGGAAACACATCTTGTAAAAAATATACCCCGGGTACAAATAAAATAAAAAATTTTCATAATCAAAAATTTGTACAATCGTGTATCGTCAGATATGTATGTATGTAAATACACATACTACTATATATTATATATTGTGCAAAGTCGAAGCGTTTTTGTGCGGTCCAGTGTTTTTCATAGTTTTTTCCGAGTGTTTTGAGGCAGCTTTGGCTAAATTTGTTTCCCCTGTAAAAATCCGTAGTGCGTTTCTGTAAGGAATCGACAATATACTCGATTATAGTGAAGTCATTTTGATTCGATCCAAATTAGTCGATTGATCGAGAATGAGTGTTTCTGTAAGCATAAGTCGACAAAATATGAAACAGTGAGAGAAATGGAACGCCATTCATGTTTGAGAAACTATTATTGAGAAAAGTAAGCATTATTGAAATGTGTGCACAAATATTTAATTATTATTAATAAATAAAAATTGATTGTGTTTCAGCTATGAGTTTATTGGTAAACACGCTCGCCATACGGCATGACAGAAGGAATATGTTGCGAATACAAAGGCGCACTTTAAGGGACTCGACAGATCCATTCAGCATTCCCGAGCCGCGTTTTCTTGAGTTATTCCGCTTCAGCAGAACTGCAGTACGGGCACTCCTTGTGGAAATCGAGCCTTTTATGGACACAGCAGTAAGAAATACATTTATTCCAAACTCCATTAGGTTATGTGTAGCGCTGCATTACTATGCTACAGGATCATTTCTTAGGGACGTAGGTCAGGATTTTGTTTGCCCTATAAGTAAGACCATGGTAAGCCACATAGTGCATCAAATTACAGAGATTTTGCAAAATCATATGGCGCAACGTTACATCATATTTCCAACTACCTTAGAGCAGCAGAATATTGTGAAGCAACGGCCAGTGAAGTGTTATAATCTTGAAGATTAATGGTTATTTATAGCTGGCTTATGTTTATGTTCACTTGAAGGTTCTTCACTGCTACTGGATTTCCTGACATCTTGGGAGCGATTGACTGCACTCACGTCAAAATTAAGAAGCCACCACAGGCAGTAGAACACTGCTACATTAATCGAAAAGGATATTTTTCCAAAAATGTGCAATTAGTGTGCGACTTTGATTTAAATTTCCTGGCGTGCTTTGCAAGATATGGGGGAAGTACGCACGACGCCTACATATGGGAAAGCAGTACACTAAAGTCCCATATGCTGAATGAGTACACTGCCAATGGGTCCACAGGATGGTTGCTTGTAGACTCTGGATATCCGTTGCAGCCGTGGCTAATGACTCCATTCAGAAATGTAGAGAGTATTAGTCAGCAAAGCTACAACGATTCTCATGCACGAGCTCGAAATTGTGTGGAACGCCTTAATAGAGTTTTAAAAAAAATATTTGGGTGCCTTTCCCAAGACCGTGGCCTAATGGTAAACGACTCATTTGCAGGATCAATAATTAATGCATGCTGTACGCTACATAATATTCGAAAGATATATAATTTTCCACTTCCTGAAGTTGATCCACTTGAAAACTCTCCGCATGGAGACAATGGTTCATTACTTAACATTTTACGAAATACTATTTTAAGAAACCACTTTTGTAGTTAATTCATATACAGTGGTGTTCAGAAAAATATGAGGAACCCTCCAAATGATACTGTTTGCAAATTATGTTTAACTCTTTATTTTTTATAATATATATTATAATAACAGTCGATTGTAGTGAACATTACTGTCCTTCCGGGAATAGATTTCAATGCAACAACAATTGGAGCGGGACTATGTAAACCCGTTTGAAGCAGCTACTGCTATTAGTGTACATACGAAAAACCTTGG